AAAAAAAGGACACAGTCTGGCTTTTAAGGGGCAGACAACCAGGCAAGAAGCAAGCACACGATGACCAATAAGCGCAGTAAGTGCAAGGACAGAGAGAAAGGCGCTGTGGACACACACCGGAAGGGCGTTGAATTCAGACTGAAGGGCTCTCTGGAATGACTTCTGGGGAAATGATGCAGAGGCCGGAGGGAAAAGCAGTCTAACAGAGAATGAGAAGCAAAGGCAATCCAGGGGATAGAAGAGGCCTTATACACTGAGCTAAGGAGCTGAAACTTGATCCTGAAGACTATGGAGAGCCCACTGCAAGATTTTAAATGGGATTTGAATGACATGACCAGACTTGCATTTCAGAAAGAATGGGCTAGAGGGGCGTGCAGAATAGATTATGACAGGGGATAACAAAATGAACCAGCAACTCCAGCTATGCGGTCAGAAGTGATAAGGACTGGAGTGATTGAATGCATTAACAAAATAAGGTTCCCATTTTTATTACACTTTCTAGCTATTATTAATATGTAAGAATGCTATGAATTTTTGCCAAACTCAATAAATTTAACCTCTTGAATTCAGATTTCTATAAATATTTCATATCACCAAACAAGCATAATTTTATCTCTTATTTTCAAATATTTATATTCCTTATTGTACTGGCCAGAAGTGTATTTTTTTAACAAATAATGACCCAAACTGTAGAAACTGAAAAATAGTCCAAGGGAACAAAACAGAGAATCTGGCAATGATTTAAACTCTTTAAGAACTTAATACTGCAAACCAGAAACAATGAACACTGGGAAGACATGTGCTGGGACAGCTACTCCCTGCCTGGCTGTGGGCACAGCTCAGGGACAACTGCTACCTACCACGTGGCCGCAGTCCTGCTCAGATGGGCCACCTAGTTATATGTAAGGAAAAAAACAAAGAAAATGGAATAGCGTATTTCTTCCAGCTGTGGAAGGAAGATAAATTTCTGACTTTTGTGAAATAAAGGATATTATCAGAGAGACAAACTGAATGGTGTGAATATATAAAAATAAAGTAGTTTTACCCAATGAAATGGAAAACGAAGGGAACAGGTGACGAAAATAACTGATACAAGCTTTCCTATAGATGTATGTGTGTGCGTGGGTGTGTGTGTGTGTGTACATCCATTACAAATGTGAAATACGTAAGGTCAAAAACCATATCTCATTGAACATATGGTCAAATGGCCAAGACAGGTAATCAATTTACACGTAAAGGAAACAGAAAGAGTAAATTATCATTTGGAATACTGCACAGCCCCTACAAAATGAAAGACCTATAAAAACACCGTTAGGGACTCAATATACACTTGCTAAATGAAAAAGCGGACAAAGAAAGCTAGAACACAGTGTAAAGAAAAGTATGCTTGTGGGGCGCCTGGGTGGCGCAGTCGGTTAGGCGTCCGACTTCAGCCAGGTCACATCCGCGGTCCTGCAGGAGTTCGAGGCCCCGTCGGGCTCTGGCTGATGGCTGAGCCTGAGCTGCTCGTTCTGTTCCTTCCTCTCTCTGCCCCTCCCCCGCTTCATGCTCTGTCTCTCTGTAAAAAAAAAAAAAAACGTTGAAAAAAAATTAAAAAAAAAAAAAAAAAAAAAAAAAAAAAAAAAAAAGAAAAGTATGCTTGCATGTTGCTGGCAGCACTGCCAAGTAGCCTGAGCTCTCTGGAGAGCCACGCAGTAAAAGAAACAGCTACATACGAACGCACGCACATCCGTGTGCAAACACACACTCCGACCTCTTAGGTCTTGGAGGAACTATATCCCTGAAAGGACACAGAGTCATTTGTTTAACAATACTCAGAGTAGAACCATTCAGAACAGGAAGAAGTGGAAATAATCCACAGACCTAAAAAACGGAAAAGGCGTTTAAGAAAGTCACACTGAACAGTTTCTAAAAAGACACATGCAGGGTCATAAAGAACTAGAAGTGCGAACAGAGGAACTCACATCGATGCTTTGCAAAACGTGCATATATGCATGTGACTTAAGAAGGATGCAGACAGGGAGCCTGGTTGACTCAGGCGGAAGAGCGTGTGATTCTTGATCTTGGGGTTGTGAGTTTAAGCCCCATGTTGGGTGTAGAGATGACTAAATAAATGATCTCTAAAAGAAGAAGGATGTTGACAGAGTGAATGTCCTCCTACAGTCTTATTTTATGGAGGCCCACAGGCCTTTGTGCAATCCAGAAGCCAAGCTGGTGCTACTCAGTGAACCACACAATTATCTCCTTCCTTTAACGTAACACGACCCAGCAGGCACCTCACCGTCACCCTTCAGTCAGGGCCACCACAAGAACGTACACTTTGCTTTACCACTGAGGTTTCTGGAAAGGAAAGCAAGTGCTGAACATCTAACGGACTTACCGTGAGTGTGGCCAGGGACATAAAGCCAATGAGGTTATTCCACACTTTATCGATGTCCTTCAGCAGCTGCTGGAGTTTCTCACTGCACACCGCGGTGGCTTTTATCCCCAGCTCCACACGCTTGGTCACCCTGTACACCTCAACAACACCTACAGAGTGAGAGAGTGGAGTTGGGCGCGGGCAGTGCAGAGAGGTGGGCGGCACAAGGCGGCACTACTGCATGCAGGTATCAGCTGGAAATATGGATTGTTTCTCAACAGAAGTGAACTTACCACTCTTTGGGACCAGTCCACCTCCAGTGCTGCAGGGTAACTTACTGGTAAGAGCACAGCCTATAGCTACACTACCTGGGTTCCAATCCCAGTTCTGCCGCTTACTAGCTGTGTAACCCTGGGCCAGTCACATAACTTCTCTGAGCCTCACTTTCCTCATCTGTAAGATGGGGATACTAAAAGCACCTCACCAAAGAGGATTAAATGGGTTCATACTGTAAAAGGCTTAGAAGAGTGCCCACAGAACATTAGGCACATTAGGCACTATGCAGTATTAGCTCATTTTCTTTCTGGCTTCTTTGTAAGCCCATCTGTTTAAGTTTGGGAAATCCCATTTAACTGGCTGAAAATGGGAATATCAAAAGCTTAAAAGAATCTGAATGTCAGTATCACCACAAAGTAATTAAGAAACAACTCACTTCTCCGAATACCCAATGATTTACAAACCCTGTGGCTTCACGCATCTTTTATAAACCTAACAGAACACAGGACGGCTCTTTTCCCGTGGTCTCTGAATTGCGGCTGAGTTCGTCAAGCAAGGAGGACAGGTGCCAAGTATCTTCACATTCTAAGGACGGTCACCAGACACATCCCCAACCTTTACCTGAGCCTCTAGAAGCGAGGACTGGAGGAGTTGTCTGCAGAGCAGTACCTCATCAACCTGTGTACAGCCCACTGTGGCTTTTCCTCTTCTTTCCCCAGAGGAAGGGCAGGAGTCACTGCCTATCCTACGCCAAGTGAGGGGACTTCTCAGACAACCCCTCACAGACACTAGGCGATGTGTGCAAGGAAAGACAGGTGCCCTACCACCTGGTGTGTTCCTGCAGTAGAGCCGTGGCCGTCTGAGCAGGAAGGAGGAACAAGAGCGCGGCAGTGGAACTGCAGGAGAGACCACGTCCCCCCACCACCCACTCATCCAGCAGGTATTGGTGAGGGACTACTACGTGCCAGGCGCTCAGGTACGTATTACAGACATTCCCAGGGGACAAAACAGACCAAATCACTCCCTTCTTAGAGGTTCCTTGCAGGGGAGGGAGACAGATAACAAATAAGAAAAGGTAAAATATACAAGATATTAAAGCTGATGAGACAAAAGACAAATCAAGCAGAGAATGGGAGAGGAAGGATGAGGGTGGGGTGAGAGGGCACAGTTTTGAGAAAGAGAGGCCAGGGAAGGCCTCCCTTAGCGGGTGACACCTGAGCAGAGATGTGAAAAAGACTAGGGTCCAGTGCATGTGGCTCTGGCTACGGGCCAAGCGGGAGCTTCAGGAGGCAAAGAACACCAGATTGGACAGAGACCGGAGTTTCAAGCTGGACTGGGACATTTAACAGCTGAAGGTAGTCAGGGAGGTAAGGAATCGGTGATGAAGTGAAGGGGTGGAGAGGAAGAATCAACAGAGCATGGTAAGGCATTAATTAGAGACCCAATGTTTTCATTCTAGTAAACCAGTAACACAGATGCAATTTTACATCTGTTGCTGCTAGTATGTGTATAGTAGGGACTGAAAAACTTTGCCACAGATACCTTAAGTCAAATAGTGTGGTTTCTGTCTGTGACTTAAGCATCTCACCCACAAACGCAGATACTACTTAGTGAAGTCATATGTAACTTGAAAGATCTAGATTAAAATACTTAATGTAAGGGAAAACTGAAAATACTGTCAAGTGTCAGGATTTTGAATAAGTAAAACATAAATGAACATACCTAATAAATATTCCATGCCTTGGGCTGACTGAATTACTTCTGTGCACACAGAACTACTACTGATTCCATTTAAGGTATCATTTGCCTTCTTAATGACCTATAAGAAATGAAATCACATCACCTTATATAATTGAGAAAAGTCATTACAAGTCAATTTACTGTTAGTAGAGAACCCAACAGAGAAGCCAGGAGGTGTGAAAAAGCATGACTGACTGATATATGTATATGACCATGCTGAAACAAATGTGAGAATTTAATTTTAACCTTGAAGAAACCATCCTCCATTTCTTTGGAAAAGACACAGGTTCTTTAAGTTTAAATATTATTTTAATTTAGGCAGCATTAATGATATCATTTTGTTATTTTCTTTTTTCTTCTTTAGAGAGATAGAAAATGTGCTCATGTGCATGTGAGAAGGGGAGAGGTGGGGGGGAGAGGGAGGGAGAGGGAAAGGGAGGGAGGGGGAGAGAGAGACAGAGAGAGAGAGAAAGGGGGAAGGGGAGGGAGGGAGAGGGAGGGAGGGGGGGAGGGGGAGAGAGAGAGAGAGAGAGAGAGAGAGAGAGAGAGAGAGAGAGAGAATGAATATCTTGAGCAAGCTCCATGCTCAGCATGGAGCCCGACAAAGGGCTCAATCCCATGACCCTGGGATCACGACCTGAGCCAAAATCAAGAGTCAGATGCTCAACCAACTGAGCCACCCAGGCACCCCTCACTGTTATTTCTTAAACACAGTGACAGGTGAGGGCACAAGGGACAAATGAGCCACTTTTGCTATCATACACGTGAAAGAAGCCTCACTTAAGCCGTATGGCTTTCCCTCCAGCTTCCCTTTGCACAAGGCCATGGAGGAAGGGCTCTCCTCAAGTTTTCCTCTGTCCATTCAAAGGCACCAAGGAGAGGGTAAAACGGCACAAGACAGCACTCACACATGTGAAAGCACCGCAAAAGTGACATACTCACATCTAGGGCGCTCCCCAGGCACCTCTGCCATTCATATGCATATCTCTCATTCTCCTGTGAAATTTATAAAAACAACGGGGTTAAACAGGCAGGACTGGAGTCCTCTATGATTTCTGTCAATGTACAGAGCATTGGAAGGCTTTACTTTTTATTAAAAACACTCTACTTCAAGCATGGTTTATCTCTTGAAACCACTGATGACTCTTCACAATTACTAAGTGCACCTTCTGAGCACATGATCTGTGAGTCTGAGGGGAATGTTTTGTAGCAGCTTCCCTCTGCAAATGTTGGCTCACTGGTTCTAGGAATAGTTTAAGCTTCTCCAAAGGCACTCGCCACATAGGTGTCTAGTACAAGAGCTAATACTAAACCACCAGCTTCCCACTCCACAGTTATGACGCCGTGTGTGTGTGAGCATGCATGAATGACAAGGAGGGCACAGAGGAGACATAAGGGTATCGGCTGTAGGAGGAAGACAGTGTGGGACTAAGACGCAGCAAATCCAGACTTTCCTCATCTCCTCTATCTGGTGTTTTAACATTCACTAGTCTAAAGTGATAAAGTCTAAGTGCTCAAAGAAAAACTCCCCCAAACACCCCTCCTCGTGAAGTCTCCTGAACAATTTCAATTTTAGGGCCGCTGACTCATTTCAGCAGATGTCCCACCTGAGAAGTATTTTCATCCAGGGCTAATGCTGCCATTCTCTCACTTTAATTGAATATTTTGTGTCTGGTGCCTTGTGACTTTCTGTCCCTTGCTTCCCCACAGAAAGTTGAAAGCAGTTTTTCTTGAGGCCCTCAGTGCTCAGTTGGTCTTTTCCCTGCCCCTCTGTAGAAAACTCCCCTGCTCACCTCCACCTCTCCTGTCAGATCTTTGTATTTGTCACGGATGACAGGCAGAGCCGGCTTCTCACTCAGAGTGTTGGAACGATCCCTGAAAGGCTGCTCCAAAGCCGGAGAAGGAGAAGAACGGCTTATTTCTTTATCACCAAGGCTCAAACTCCTTTTGTGTGATCCTGGAGAAGTGGATGGCACAAAGGTTCTGATTACTCAGCTTAATTCAAGCCGAGGCTCTTCCTTGCTAACATGACCCTCTTCTTTAGATGCTTCTGTCATGAGGCATTCAGAAACACAATCCGTGTTCATTCTCCTCTGGCAAGCTATCCAGGCATATCTCGGAGATGTTGCGGATTTGGCTCCCAACCACATCAATAAAGTGAGTATTACAATAAAGTGAGTCAAATGAATTTTGGGGTTTCCCAGTACAGATAAAAGTTATGTTTGCCCTACGCTATTGTCTACTAAGTGGGCAATAAATAGCATTATGTCCAAAAAAAAAATCAATGTGCAAAGATTAAAAAATACTTCATTGAAAAAAATCACAAGCTCAGCCATCATCTGAGCTTTCAGTGGTTGTAATCACTGATCACAGATCACCATAACAATGTAATAATGAAAACGTTTGACATGTTGCAAGAATCACCAAAACGTGACATGGCGACACAAGTGAGCAAATGCTGTTGCAACAATGGCACTGACAGACTTGCTTGACCTAAGGCTGTGACAAATCTTCAAACTGTAAAAAACACAGTACCCAGGAGGCGCAATAAAATGAAGTATGCCCTATGTTGAATCCTTCTGGTTGTTCACTTCTGCTTGGTTTCCCTGACTTTAATTTTCTCCATTACTCTTCCCTGATCTAGCACAAGTGCAAAGCCACTGGAGTCTGGAGGACAAAGTGTCTTTTTAAATATCAGTGCGTAAGAGTCGTGTTGCCTTTCCAGTCATTAGTCACGGATTTGCACTGAGCTCCTACATACTCTCAATCCAACAGAAATCAATGCCTTCTGTCAGGATGGGCTTAAAGCAGAAGGTGCAAACTCAAATGCTTTCAGAGAGCAGGCAGGTCAAGTGCATGACTGAAGTGGGTCAGCCAGAGAGAAGAGGTGATGGGGACTGTGACAAGGAGGACAGCATACCCCATCTGTTAGAGGGGGCAGTGCCATTCAGCTCTACCTGATTGTCAAAAGGGGGGAATACAGGCCTAGTATTGCCAGATATTACTTTTCAAGAAAAGCTAGAAATCTAGATTGTGAAATCTCATGATTCTTATTGGCTGGCAGCACATTAAAAAAACCTTCTGGGGGCGCCTGGGTGGCGCAGTCGGTTAAGCGTCCGACTTCAGCCAGGTCACGATCTCGCGGTCCGTGAGTTCGAGCCCCGCATCAGGCTCTGGGCTGATGGCTCAGAGCCTGGAGCCTGTTTCCGATTCTGTGTCTCCCTCTCTCTCTGCCCCTCCCCCGTTCATGCTCTGTCTCTCTCTGTCCCAAAAATAAATAAACGTTGAAAAAAAAAATTAAAAAAAAAAAACAAAAAAACAAAAAAAAAACCCTTCTGTGTGGCTCAATCAAAACAAGTCTGCAGGGGCAACCTGACTGGCTCGGTCATTTAAGCGTCTGACTCTTGGTTTTAGTTCAGGCCATGTTTACATGGTTTCGTGAGTTCGAGCCCCTCATCAGGCTCTGTGCTGACAGTGCAGAGCTTACTTGGGATTCTCTGTCACCCTCTCTCTCTGCCCCTCCTTCACTCGTGCTCGCTCTTTCAAAATAAATCAATAAACTTAAAAACAAAAACAAAAACAAAAAACAGTCTGCAGACTGGATCCAGACCCACGTTGCAGCCTCTGGATTAAAAAACACAGTCCATAGCCAGGGAATAAGAGCAGGGTTGACGTGTCCCCAAGTGCATCATATCCATTTCTCTGGCTCTTTTAACACAGTACCCCTCTAGCCAACAAGCTAATGAACAGACTGTATGCTGTGCTTGTTTTTAGCCCAAAAAGCAATTATCTGAGGGATACAGCCTTGACTTCAGTTTAGCTGCAAACCCTTTTGTATAGCCATCTATAATAGACCCTGATTTCAGAGGCTGCAAATCCATTTCCCACTAAACCAGAGACCAACTTTCTGTTAGAAAGAACATCTAATATCTCAGTGGAAGAAACCACCACAGTACAGTTGACACTGAAAGCAACTCACCTTGAACAGAAAGGTCAAAGGTTGCCAGCTCACTTTTGATCATTTCTTCACTGGATTTCATTTTGCTCTGTGAATTGGCCACCAAAAAGTCAAATTTGCTGATTTTGGGCTTTTCACTTTGAAACTCTCCAAAGTCATCTGCACATTCTTTGGGAGTGTCGTGAGAAGTGCTGCTGGAGGCCGGGCTTGGACAGGTGGCATCCGGGCTCCGTTCGGCTGTAGGCAAGTCCTGTCTCGTGAAATCTTTATAGTCCCCACTTTCATATTCCTTTTGCTCACTGGTCTGAGGAATCACATCTTTAAAACTGGCAAAAGCTGGGAAGGTGGCCTCTGGAAGAGCATCTTCATTTGTGAAGGTTGTTACTCTGGAGAGAGAGGTCATGGTGATGTTTTCGGAACTGCCGAATGAAGTCTCTTTCTTTTGAAGAACCGAGGCAGCTGAGGAGGACCCGCTTCCTGCTGAGAGGACAAATGGAGAGAGTTTTCTGCCCTGAGACGCATCATCCCTGTCTGACCAGTCATAGCTCGTAAGTGTGCTCACTGCAAAATTGCTACTGTAGGTTCCAAAAGCAGCATATTTTAAGTCCTCTATATCTGAAAGGGAAATAAGACCCCACAATTAGAGGCAAGCTCATGATTTAGGCAAAATGCCCTAAACTCTGCAGAAGCAAAATGTCTAGCATATTTGATTAGTTTTATGCTATGTTGGAGTTAACTACATTTAGAGCTTGTACTAAAATTAAAGGAATTGGGCTATAAAATCTGATCTTTAAAAACCCACATTAGCTTTGAGTTGGCATTTATATTTAGTTACAGTTATTTTCTTTGCATATAAAGATTACTATAAAAGACAGGAGTATCATCTACCAACATATGACATGATTAGGGTTATTTGATAAACTGTTCACTTACAAGTTTTAAGATGTACTTACAATACCCCCTGCCTACAACTGGTGCCTTTTGCCCCAGCTTGGTTGGGAAATGTTCCTTTAACACACGGATGGACAGAATGTATATGACAAACTAGTGAAAAACTGACAATTTCTCAAAAGTAAAGTGTAAGTAATGTCACCTAACTTTTAGCCAGTTCTCAGGAGTCTCTGTCTCGCAAGATCGAACGATAGATGTTAATTAAGCAGTTACTTACCTAGTTGTTATTTTGGTCAATATGATGTCATACTGCTGTGATGGAGTATGAGGAAAGAAAAATCAACCTAATCTACTTTAGCCTCTAAAAAATAGAATCAAAGGTCTGGGTCCTGGTGGGCTCCTGTTTCTCCTTCAACTATGTATCAGCCCCTCATTTAAAAAAAAAAAAAAAAAAGAAAAGAAAGAAGAAAAAGAAGGAAACGCTGGGGCAGAAGACTCATTTCACAAAGCATTCTTAATACACGTTTAGATCACCTGAGAGGTAGCATAAAACACCAGAAAAAATGTAGGTTTTTGATTTAGATACATCAGGGTTCGACTCTAGTGCTGCCACCTACTACTTGTGTGACACTAGGCAAGTTATTTAACGTTTCTTAACCTTGTCTTGCTCACGGAAGGGCCTGTGTTGTGTCGACTGCCCAGTAATGTGTGGAAAGGGCCGCCCCGCTTGATGCCCGGTGAGCAGTACATAATAGCAACATCTGTACAGCATAGTTGCCCCGGGCCTCCATTTGACATTTAGGTGCGGCTTTAGGGTCTACGATGGAGTTATCTCAGAGTGCAAATGAAGGGCCAACTCATCACTTTAATGGTCTGACAAGGGAAAGTTTCTTGCCCATTCTCAAAAAGCACACCCAGCTGAGGCCGAAAGCCGCTTGTGCGGAGCGCCCCGGTTTCAGCAGCACGGTCTATGCAGCCTGGTTGGCGGGCTGAGTTTCATCCTGGTCGCTGTCTACGAGGCCGGAGGGCCAAAGGCAGACTCCCTCTCTCTGACGGCCACAAGTGTACTTTACAAGGCAAATGCTCACGAGTTTGGTGATCCAGGTTTTCCGAACTAAGTCAACAGGTGAACCACACTCGGTCATTTTCTCTTTTTTTCCTCTGAGGGTTAAGGGGCTCCTGCCATGTCCATGGCTCTCCTGACAGTATAAACCAAACCTCTCTCGCTTTAAACTCAAGTAGGAAAAGGGTACTAAATGAATAATAACAGTGGAAAACCCTAGATTACACAAAAGGCAAACCAGCCAAAAGCGGGTACCAGCTTTCATAGAACAGTATATTTTAAACCTCTGTGGTGCAAATGGTACCCTTTCAAATTTGGCTTATTGAACAAGAGGGAGACAAAGATTCAGGTGAAAACTGTACAGTTTAGAATGAATAAAACAAGGCTTCAGGCAAAATGCTTTCTTAATCTCCGGCTGTGGCTGTAGCGTTTCATGCCTCCCACCCCCAGCTACTACTCTTTAAAGGGATCAGAAGGTGCCCTGACTCCAGTGAGGGAAACTTCAATCAAGGGGCAGACGCAGTGACACACGAGAGTGGTCTTCAACGTGTGCGTTCAGAAAAATGTCTCAGAATACAGATATTTTTATTATTGGACCCTACCAGAAAGCTTTTTGGGGAAGCTGTATTATGAACTGCTTTAAGAATCTCACCTCCTAAAAGGGTAGCAATTTTCCCAAAGACTGAAGGTAAATTTATTAGAAAGTTAGGCTCTAGTTCGAAAACCACAATCCAGTTGCTATGGTAATAAAAAGACCCTTTTGTGCACTTATGCAATAAGAAAAAAAGGGTTAAAAAACCAACCAGAAATGATTGCAATATAATGAGGTAAAAGGCATTATGAGCAATAAGGGATTACCTTAGCTGAAGAGCTTTTAAATATTTTTATAATACTACAGATCTTCAACAAATCTTATTTTTATTAAAAATGAGAGGCATAACATTTTGCCTTTTAGAGCAACTCACAGAAATGACCAAACGAAAGATTTTTAAAAAATGAATTATATAAAAAAAATTATATATAAAAAAAATGAAGTGTAAATATATAAGATATACCAAAATCCAGCTGATCAAGCTGGATACCAAAATCAAGGCTGATTTTAAAAGTTTACTTTTGCTTATTTATTGGCCATTGTTATGTAAAAAAAATGTACTGAAGTGCAATTCATTTGAACGCATAAGGAAATACTAAAACTGAATTACATAAGGAATATGAGAACGTGGTATTCCTAAATCTTAGTATCTATAAATAATATTAAACTGAGTAGTATTTCCTGGCATGGTGAATATTAGTAAACCATTTTCTAAGAAAACTGTGGTAAATCAATTCACTGAGGGTAGGGTAAGCCAAGGAAATTTCTCATTGCCCATGATAACTGTTTTACATTTTCTAAGCAAATTACATGTATTATTGTATGACAGTCTTCAAAATATTAAAGATTCTGGGAGAACTACAACATAAGTGATGGAAGCCCTTTCTACAAAAATGATATGGAATAACCCACACTTTGTAATCACTGAAGTTTCTATTGCTGGGTCTTCCATTCGATAGCTGAAGTTTGAAAATTGCAAAAGAAAAAGGAAAAAGAAAGCAGAAGGGCTGCAATAAAACGAGTCTACAGGAGAACTCTTACTTAGGCTGTGCTAGGTCAAACTGCTATTGCACACGGATAATAGGCCAAATTGTGTGCTATAATACAGATATTTGTTTGCAACCAGGAATGTCCTATTACAGAGGCCAAAGGAATAAACTATGCTAGCTCCTTTCCATCATGGATCTTAAATCAAGACATGGATTTCTTGCTTATGCTGGCAAGTAACCCTATCAGTCTTTTCCATAACCTCTATTCAAATCCCTTCTGAACGGATGTTGAACACAAAAACAAGGTATTTCTTGGAACAAAGAATGTGAGCTGCCACAAGACACAAAGGCCATACCAATTCCCATGGACCTTTTCTAAAGCCGTAAGCATATGCCCAGATGATTACGTTACTGGCTTTTGAGATGGGGGTTTAGAAAAAGAAGAAAGGATACATATGCAAAATCCACTATTCTCCAGTGTTTTATATAGCAATAAAAATGTACATTGGACTGAGGAAGAAATATCTTTTAATTTCCAATGCTGATTTAATCCAAACTTCACTTACCAACGCAAACCATGAAATATGTGTACATTTCAACTTCTTTCTACCCCTGGCCCTATCCTGCCTTTACATTCTCTATTAACTATAAAACCTGGGTTGTGTCCTGTAAGTCTCAAATACTCTGAGAGTTATTGAAGAAAAGAGGAAAGTGATCACAGTGTTAAGTATGACAGGCTACAAAAGGCTGCTGTATGATTGCCTTCTAGTGTTTTCTAATTTGCACAGACACCTCCCATTCTTCATTTGTACCGACTCACATACATCCAGGGTTTAAATGATACCCATGCTATCTGTAAGCACCTTCAGGTTCCTGTCAGTGCTTTAAGTTCAATAAAGAAAAGCAGTTACTCTGTGGGTATTTTAAGTCAGAGCGGGCTGGAAGGCTAAGGAATGGTGTCAGGACATACAGCTGACCCTTGAACAACATGGGTTTGAATTGCATAGGTCCACTTATACATGGATCTTTAAAAATAAATACAGTTTAGTACTGTAAATGTATTTTCTTGTCCTTGTGATTTAATTAATAACTCTTTTTGCTAGCTTACTTTATTGGAAAACAATATATAATACAATACATGTGTTAACCAACTTTATACGGTAAGGCTTCTGGTCAATGGTAGGCTATTAGTCAAAAGTTGTATGTGGATTCTGGACTGCACTGGGGGTCAATGTCCCTAACCCCCATGTTGTTCAAGGATCAACTGTATGTACAGCAGGACTGCTCATGGTCAACATTAACAATCTCACCAAATGAGCACAGAAGATGGCAATTACATTTAGGGCCTTTTGACCATGCAAGGGAGAGAGCAGCACCCAGAAGACCCTCTTATGCACATAATCTTATCATGCTCTCAAAGCCACTGGGCCAACATTTTCCAAAACAACTTATCAAAAGAGTTCAACTGATGGAAAAACAAAGCTAGAAGCAGCTCTTTAAACATAATTTGATTCTGGGGCACCTGGGTGGCTCAGTCGATTAAGTGTCTAACTCTTGGTCTGGGCTCAGGTCATGATCTCCCGGTTCATGAGTTTGGGCCCTGCACTGTCAGTGCAGAGCCTGCGTGGGATTCTCTCTTTTTCTGCCCCTCCCCCACTTGTACTCTCTCTTTCCCAAACTTTTTTTTTTCTTTTTTAAATTGGGGTGCCTGGGTGGCTCAGTCGGTTAAGCGTCCAACTTCCACTCAGGTCATGATCTCACGGTTCATGGGTTCGAGCCCCATTTTGGGCTCTGTGCTGACAGCTCAGAACCTGGAGCCTACTTCAGATTCTGTGTCTCCCTCTCTCTCTGCTCCTCCCCCACTCGTACTGTCTCTCTCTCAAAAATAAACATTAAAAAAATTTTTTAAAAAGACTAAAAATAAATAATAAATAAAAATAATTTGATTCTTGGAATTATTTTTGGATTTAGCCCAGCTTCTTCAATACTGCCAGCATCCCCTTCCTGTTCATTTGCTACTTTTAAAAATCCATAGAGATTTTAATGTGAACAACAGAGTGAATGTAGAATATGAATACACTTGTACATTTGCTCAGGCACTGATGTGTGACATCAGCAGTAACTGGATTACTTTACTTGGCATAGGAGTAAACACAACAGTATTTGTTTGTTTGCTTGAACCTGTAGCATAGAGTTCTTCAAGTCTTTGTTGCAAGTTTATATTACCATATTATTAAGACTTCCTCCCGAAAAGTAATGTTACTCTAGAAAAATTAACTGTTCAGTTTATGAACATGATTATGTTTTACACACAGTTCAGCCTGCTCAGATAAATGCAGAAAGGACAAAATAAAGCAGTCCCAGATGGACCAATTTAGCATTAGATAATTCCATTGACAAAGCAATTTCTTAGCCAAAGCCACCACAAGATTAGTCTCATACACAGCGCTAGAAAATTCTAAATAAAGGGCAGTTGGTATTATCACTAGATGGAGGCTACACCAAGATCTCTTTCTTCCAAATTAGTTAGCAGCATACATCATAATTAAAATGTAATATAATTTACACAAGGTTTCTGAAACCAAGTATTATCCAACTTTCTAAAGCATTAATTTCTGGAAAACACAGTAGTTTGAATGGCAGATTCAGCTTTTCTTTGCATTAATCTAAACATTACTTTAAAAAAAATTTTTTTAATATATTTATTTTTGAGAGACAGAGAGAGTGAGAGAGACAGAGCATGAGAAGGGGAGGGGCAGAGAGACAGGGAGACAAAGAATCTGAAGCAGGTTCCAGGCTTGGAGCTGTCAGCACAGAGCCCGATGCAGGGCTCGAACTCACGAACTGTGAGATCGTGACCCGAGCTAAAGTCGGACGTTTAACTGACTGAGCCACCTGGGTACCCCTCTTTGAATTAATCTAACCCCCAACATGCAACTTTTTTCTTTCCCAAATGGCCTATTGCAGATACTGTAAGTGATCTCTCTGGAATCCTCTTCAAAATCCTCATTTTCAATGGTTTAATTTCTTTCTGCCTCAAATTCTTAAAAAAAGAACTAAAATTTCAAAATATAAGAAAAAAATGGAAACCATGGAAACAATCCTTTTTTCCAAGGTTTTTATTGGTCTTGGGTTTATGATCTAAAAAACAATAGTATTCCTAAGGTTTTTTGCTATTAATATTCTCTAAGATAGAAAAAATATTTTCCAAACTTAGCATTCTCTTATTGCTAACTTTTGTGCATCTTTCTAGAATTATTTTCTCAAAAAATGAAAGTGATTTAAAGCTTGCTTTGAAGATATCCTAAAATCGTTTTAAGAACTTGCTTTATGGACTGTGAGCTTTATAATACATTCTGAAGTTGGAAAGATAACAGGCTCTACAAGTAGAGGGTGAGCACCTATTTCAGACCCACACTGAATTCAGACCTGAAGACTTCCTGATGTTAACACTGAACACTCTCCATCACAAAGATTATCAATTGAAATTCAGTTTGCATGTACTGTGCTCAGAAGCCCATCTCAACACCATTTCATGATTTATTTTAAATTTACAGACATCTAGTTATTAACAGATGTATCCCCTGTCCCCAACACTCAACTATTAGATCTGTCCCTCACCTGCCCCTCTTCACAGTGCAACTCCTCGTGGTGGTGGGCTCTGTGAGGTTTACTAAGCAATAAAATCGACTCCCATTTTCTCACTAGAAGAAAGGAGTAACTTTTCCCTATTACACAGTGTGTAAGGTTTACATTATTTTTTAAACATTTAAAGTTATGTTTTAATCCAGTGCCATGTTAAAAATTTATATCAATGGGATTATTAGGGGAAAGGGCTAAACCAATACTTTCTTAGAAGAAAGGTATTTGAAGAGACAAAAGGGAAAACCCTTTAATCACAGGAAGTGCTATTGTTTTACACTTGATATGGACCAGGTATTTCTTTGGTCTAATCCTGAAAAAGTACAAATTACACACATCCCCACACTTTCAAAATATGCCAAAGAATTATTTATTAACATAGGACTTACAGATCACAAAAGAGAGTGGTACAGAAGAGCTGGAAAAGAAGTCATCAGAATAAGCATGCAGATCAGTATTTGCAGAGGAATATACCAAAGCAAGTTCGAAAAGGCACATTCACACAGAAAATGTCTAAATTGAAAAAAAGACATCAGAAAAGCAGCCAAAAAGAAAAAAATACTGATAATAAGGCGCTGATTAAAATACAACGATTTTCAATGTCAAAGAAGAGCTACTTTACAGGTAGGTAGGGAGCTACAGAAGTCTCGCTAACCCTTTGAGAGTGTCACAAATGAGGGTAAGCTCTTGCTGCCAACAAAACCAGATGATTGTAATGACTGCACATCAAGATGCTTTGGGGCCAGATTAAATTTAGTGGTGGGGATAAAGCAGCCTAGATGAAATTATATTGCAGCAAGGGCCCAAAGGGTTAAATGTAATAATACGCAGAGAAATCAGGCAATGTTATTATTAGTATTATCTACCTTCCATACAAAGAATAATTGTAAGAGTTAAAAGAGACAGTATCCCTTTCAGAGTTAAGTTAGGGTTTCTCAACAACACTAAGGTCCAGAGATAGCAATTTGCTAGGTTTTATTCTCTTTTCATCAGCCCACTTTTTATTTCTCCAATGAGAAGTTATCTTTAACCCTCAGACCAAGAGAGCATGAGATACTGCAGTCAATGTGAGGATAAAGAAAAACCAAACTGCGTTGAAGAAGTCCCTGCCATTTACCTTCTACAGTACATTTATGCAGCAGTTTTGTCCAACAACAATATAGCCCATTGGTCAGACATCAACCCCTTGTGACAACCGCTCTAAAGGGATACTGCTCTTTCTGACAGGAGGTTTACAGATCAAAAAGAGGAAACAATCTGCTTTTAAGGATATCCTCAAACTGAAGAGACTTGGCTTGAACATTACAGGTTCCAAGCTGGGAATGTTCCAAACATACATAAAAGAACATGTGCACAGAAGATTATTTTAACAGGTCAATCAGAACAAGCTCAGTCAAAAAATCTCCCCTCCCCAAATAAAATGGAAAAATTTTAAAAGAAGGAAAAAGAAAGACATCACAAACCTGATTAGACTCATCTCATAAAGACATCTAGCTTGGCACTATGAAAGAATATAGATTCACTTTCAGAAAAATAGCTTCTAATTAGTAACTTGAGAGTCCAGAAGGCTAGTATACATGTTATGAGATTTTTAAATAAAAATCAAATATTGTTCAAAAAAACAGAGCACTCTGCAACCAACCACGGTGGCTCAAGCAGCTCGTACAAAAAAGAGAAACAAAATCACCCTATCAAACAAAGAGCAGCAAAAAAATAGGAAAACGTCTGAGGAAAAGTACAAAAAAAGGAAGTCAACAGTCAGGGGCACAAGGAGCCCCGCAGACAGCCCACCGCCCTTAGACAAAGCCTCAGCAAGCCGCCACGGGAGACACACACGGTCTCTGAACACCTGCTCTCGATTCGGCATCCCGTTTAAGGATACCTCCAACATTTCAATAGCCAAAGGATGGAGGCGATTTTGTTTTCTGACTTACCAATGTGATCTATGCAAAAGCCGTAATACTCTTTAACATTTCTGCTGGAATCTGTAAACTTGGAAGTGTCTTACATGTCCCTCTCTAGTTAGAAAAACAACAAACCCTTCATATGCATAATACGTTTTCTAGAATAATACAGTAATACTGAGATAGTTCTCATTATTAAAGGCCACAAAATGGGTTTATCTTTCTATATAACATAGCAAATAACAAAACAAAATAAAAACGAGGACACTTGGGAATCTAGATTTTATGTCAGGAAGTTGGACTAGAGAATAAACTGCTACATGTAAATCCATACAGAATTTAAAGAGGGCTCCCTTATAGGATGTTTTCAAACATTTTATGAGAAAGTGAGTAGTTACCCTATTCTACCATCTACAGATGTGTTACAATTTAATACTTTCAGTAATAGAGTTAACGCTGAAAACCGTACCTGAACTCCACTAACGACTCATGCCCTCCTCCTTGCCAGACCCTGGCACACAGGACATCCACACACAAGCTCTTTCCATCCTCTCTTGTGGGGATGTGGCAAACCACAGTACGACTGGCTAAACTAATTTTTACTAAGACTTGGCCTAACAAGAATCAGTTCTGTCAGCCAAACAGAATACTATATTGGCCGCTGCCAAACAGACCCAAGAGAAGAGAAAAGGAGAGGAAAACACTGACCTCACTCACAGAAATGGAGGAACAGTACCCACACTGCAAAAGTCTTTATAAAATTCCTGGTGATGTAGGGTTCATTTAGCAGTGGATTTTTATGTGCCTCTAACACCAAGTTGGGGTTAGAGTTTGAAAATAAAAACATTTTAGCTATCCAGTCTAAGTTCCAGAGTACTCATGGGATCCATATATCCAAGTACCCACAGAATCGAATTTAAACACTGCTTCAATGGGACTGGCAATGAAGAGGTTATTAGAAATCCATTAAGGTTAAGAGCCAGAGCCTTACTCTACTATAAGTCAACACCCACCGAACCATCTTTGAAATCTACATCACCATTACCAGAGTAGTCTCACCAATTCCTCACCTGCAGCAGGAGGATGCTGGCCACTAACTGTTGGTAAATCCAAAGAGCTATCAGACATGACATGCTTAAGATCTCCTCCCACATCAGCCAGTTTCATGTCAAACTGAACAGAGAGTGCATCTTCAGAGTCCTCCTTGCCAACACTGCTGCCACCAATGGAAGGGAGATCCAAGGACTTCACTGAAGCAGAGTCTTCTTTGGTGTGTCTGAAAGCCACTGATTTCTCACCCAGAGATTTGTCTGAGTTCATGGAAGAAAATTTACTAGAGTGGAAGTCAGCAAAATCATCATCACTTTTTCCTGAAGGGATATTATCCTTCAGTTCTTCAATACCCAGTCCAGATCCTTCCAGAGAAAGTTGTTTGAAGACATCGTATTTGGTGGACGTGGCAGCGGAGTTTTGTCCACTCTTCACTGTGCTGCTCGAGCTGCCACTTAGAGGAACAGGACTAGCCTCCTCTTTAAGGGCGTCATATTTATCATCTGCCTTTTGCTCAGATGAAACAGAGCTATTACTGAAAGCCATAAAATCTGCAAAGTCATCCTGTTCCCCAACAGATGCTGGACTAGAATATTCCCCAAAAAGGTTGAATTCTCCAAAATCATCAGCCAAACTAGACATCTTAGTTGATGCCAGTGCTGTCGTAGCTGCAGCAGATCCTGTTGGCTGTGGCCGTGTGGAAACAGATTTGGATGCACTAAAAGCAGCTGAAAAAGATAATGGTTTCTCGCTGCTGCAGTTAACTGAGGAAAACATATCAAGGTCTGCTAAGTTCAGAGGATTCTTCACTTGTGTTTGTTGTTTCTGTTGTACAGCTCCTGAGGGGAAGGATGCTGGAAAAGTTTGGTCTTTTGTTGGTGGCTCTAGTGGTGATAGACTATCGGCAGTTTTAAAATCGGTGAAACCGTCATCAGTGCTCGCAGATCTGAATTCTGCAAAGTTTTCTCCTGAAAGAGAAAAACACGGCAAAATAAATAAGAATGCTGAGCTGAACACCACATGATGCACAGCATATTAAATTACAAGCATACTTTTAAAGACTTGCCCCTCACTAGCTTGACATTATTCAACCACAGCTTACACCCTACCAAAACAGCTCTTTGGACACTACACATCTGTTTCCATGCCAAAGGCTAGTGATACCAAAATAAATAAAAATCAAACCGAGAGCACCTAACCATGTCAGTTTCGTTTGCTCATTTTAACGTGATACGTGTCCTAGTGCCATACCCTTCAAGTGGCCAAAAGCACTGCTCTCAGGACTTTTTTCTCACTACAGCCAGCTGGCCAAGCACACAAGAGAAGAAGAAATGGGTGCTGGAGGTTCCTGAAGAGAGAGACATTAAGATGATCCTTTAAAGATAAAATGTTTTACATGGTGATCAATCAGGAAAAAAGTATCATGGGTGCTCTAGTGAAGTATTACGAAAAATCCTGCATCTAATATTTAGGATGTGAAACACCTTGCTCAACTAGGTACTTCAAGCATACTGTTAGATATTAAGTGGTCTTGCTCAAGTACGTGGAGGCATTAATTTGAAGCTAACTTTGATGAAAAATTATGAAAAGGTATCTACTTATTTGCAAAGCATTCATTCCAGCTAAGGACACATTTTAAAGTGGCTTCTCTATATAACAAATAAGCTGAATCTCACAGAAAAAAAATCTGTGAGCACTTGGGCTTGTCTCGAAATCAGCCATGTCACTGTACCAACTAGTAATTACTCTTATTTATTAAAATTCAAAAGGATTTGAATAAATACCAACTCCACTATTAAAAATTTCAAGGGACAGTATTTATTTTTAAATTTTTTTTTTCAACGTTTTTTTATTTATTTTTGGGACAGAGAGAGACAGAGCATGAATGGGGGAGGGGCAGAGAGAGACGGAGACACAGAATCGGAAACAGGCTCCAGGCTCCGAGCCATCAGCCCAGAGCCTGACACGGGGCTCGAACTCACGGACCGCGAGATCGTGACCTGGCTGAAGTCGGACGCTTAACCGACTGCGCCACCCAGGCGCCCCTCAAGGGACAGTATTTAAACTTTATACTGTGCTACTCTGAAAAAGGAGTTACTGAAATGTTTTGTTATTATTTTTTAGAGAAAATAGGTACTAATGTGTTTCTAATAAACAATTAAATAGACTCAGTTAAGATGTTGATAAAAATCTGAATCCATGATTCTAAACAGAGTTTCTTTTCTTTATTATGAGAGTGACGTTATCACTCTTAAGTATGAGGTTAGGAAGCAGATGATCTCAATTTTTCTAATGGTGTCTGAAGGTCTTCCATAAAATCTACTAGATTTTACCAGGTAGTGAAAATCAGAGCTAAACCAAATATAAATATAGCTACACCAACATCACTTATTATTTAAAAATATTAATGCTATTCTAAAACATAGGCTGTAATTCTTCATCCATTTTTCAAATTCTATTTGTCCCTAAAAATGAGATATAGAGACATATGAGCCATAAAAGTGTACTTCAAACCAAAATCTGATTCTTAAAACTGTCATTATAATAAAACAGGCTTTAAATATTTAGTGCTTATAACACGATAATACTTTAATAGAAGAAAAAAGCATAGGAAACAATGGAAGCTGATTTTTCCTCTTAATCTGAGGCTTAATTCACCAGCATAATTTATCAACACAGAGAAATCTATTTAATATTATTAGGGAAATTTTAGAAAGAGAGGAATAGCATTCATAATTTCTGTATTTTATGTTTTTAAGACATACCACTAATAAGACTAAAGTCAATTTCACAAATTGACAGGAGAAGCAGATGTAAAACTTAAAAAAAATTACCCTGTTTTAGGTAAGTATATCACTGATAATATTTGTATCATTTCCCTAAATGAAAACGTCATAAGCAGCCGATTTTGTCAGTCTAAATTTTTGATGTGCTACTTTGAAATATCTGTGAAATTGACAAGTTTTGTTTTGTTATTTTTAAAAAGAAATCACCACAGCAAACTAAACTTACTGAGGAATTGTAAACGTTTCCATTAGAAATGTAAGCTGGGTGAAAGGGTCAAAAAGAGATAAAATGGGTGGGTTTACAAGTTCAAAAGCAAAATGAATTTGGGAGCAAATAAATTAGTTGCAGTCATTGGAAGCTTGCATATCAGAGGGTACATTAATCCTCTGAATCCTTCTGAATCCTCATAAGTTCCCCTCTCTACTTGTCACTTTTTACGTCCTAAAAACATTTCAAAAGAGATCACATTTGTCATCAAAATGTAAGCAGTACCTTAGTGCTGCTTTTATAGTACTTTAGTAACAGAACCCCAGATTGTTGCTGACATTTTTGTTGGTGTGCTTTCATTCCTGACTTAACTTTAAGGACTTCCAGTAGAGGTGCCAACTTTTTGTTCATTTTAGGAGAATATATTTTATTTTATTCTCATTAAAAATACATCGGCCTGAATGCATCAAGTGTGTTGGTGTCTTAGAATTTACAAAAAATTCATATAGTATTGTGTTCAGAACTGTGCGTTTCGTAGGTTACTAAGTGACAGAGCTTAGTGATATTTCCTTTTTTCCCAGGAATAACACCCCTATGATACGATCATTAATACCACACTACACAAAAAACTCTGATAGTAAACCATGCTCTTTACTCCAAACTCAGTTTGGTCCAAGAGGTGATGAAAGAACTGCTAGGAGTCAAAGACCAATTAACAAGCCAAAAGTTCCTGTAGGGTTTTATCTCTGTACTCCTAGTGCCTAATATAGGCACTGAGGAACAAAGTTATTACATCCTAAAGGCTTGAATGCAACAGAAGGAAATACTTCTAGAATCTGACAACTGTAAGGGATTGAATATTTTTTTTTCAGTGTTTTATTTATTTTTGAGAGAGAGAGAGAGAGAGAGCGAGCACGCACACACGAGAGCATGTGCATGAGCAGGGAAAATGTGGGGTTGGCGTTGGGGGGTAAGGGGGGCAGAATCCCAAGCAGGCTACCTGCAGAGAGCCCACACGGGGCTTGATCCCATGAACCGTGAGACCATGACCTGAGCTGAAATCAAGAGTGGGACATTTAACCGACTGAGCCACCCAGGATTCCCAAGGAATGAATATTTTTAGGACAGGTGGATTTTTCCTTTTTAGAGATATTTAAGTAGTACACTTTTTCCTTGAACTTTTACTCCTACATTACCTTTCCTACAATCTCCTCTCATCCCCTCCCTTGGACAGAAGGGTGACAACAAATGAGTGAAGGATATTCTAAATTTGAGCATTCAGTACACAAAGACAGTCCCCAGGAAGAAATCCTCATGAGAGTATGCAAATTTCGTAGCATGCGCAGTTAAGCTCTGAAGGACATGATTTGACCTATGGATTATTTAAACCCTACATATCCGGTTAGGATTTAACCACAAACATAACTTTCGGTCTTCACACATACGGTTCTTAAACTATCATTCTGTATTCCCTTCTACTCTCTTTAAACCCTTCTATAAATCCCGCTTACTTCATCTTATTAAATTATAGCCACGTTTGAAAATCTTGAAAAGACTGGTTGCTGCAAAACTTCTGCACAGTCCACAGATCGCTGCACTGCCAACAGTTCCAGTTCTTGTTAAACATTAAAATAACTGAGGACAGTCACAGCCTTCCATTTGATACAGAAGTCTATCCGGGCTTGAAGGTTTCCAGTGAAAGGGAACATAACTAGCTTCAGAAGAAATTGCCTCAATTTGGAGTTTGCCCTAAATTTTAGAAAAGAATTTCCAATAACAGAACCATATTTTGTTTCCTTGTAATTTCCAGAGGCACAAAGCCAAAAAACCTCACCCACACAATATAATAAAGACATGTTCAGGAATGTCCCTGAAAGAATCATCAAAAATATCTTTTATTAAAAACTGAGGGGCGCCTGGCTGGCTAAGTCGGAGAAGCACATGACTCTTGATCTCCGGCTCGTGAGGTTGAGACCCATGTTGGGTGTAGAGTTTACTTAAAAATAAATGAATAAAATTTTTTAAAAATTGAAATTTATCCATTTAAGGAATCAAAAACTTACCTGAAGTTTTACCCTCTGCTGTCTGTTCAAGTTCTCTGAAAGCACTGTATTTATCACCAGGCTCTATGATGAAAAGACAGAGTCTATTAAGAATACGAAACTTGAGATTAAAACTCAAGGAAATAAGTAAGGCGGACTGAGTTAACCGCACATACTTGACAAGTGGTGTAAGCATTTTATACATTTCTCATAAAAGGCCACCATTAAAAAGGTTTACATTCATAGGTTACATTCATAAGTTTGTGAACTGACAACTTTGTTTTTACCTCCAAATGGAATGTTACTTTCAGAGGATTTGTCAGCTGCAATTCCTTTAAACACAGCATACTTATCCATCGAAGCTGATGCTTTAGTGCCAGGAAGGGGCATCAACAAAGAAGGGGCACTAAAAGGGAAAATGAAATATTTCTTAATGACTAGAACATTGAATCCTTCCCTTATCATCAAGTAGGAGCTTAGAATTAAAATGGCAAGTAGGTACCTGATTAAAATTCATGGTTCCCTGCCTTAAAACTCAGAAACTATATATATTCACCACAGAGGTTTAAACTCTTTCTCTTGGGAAAATATATTGAAATACCTTCCATGTGAGAGGGATTATTGATTATTGATTATTTCAAGATTTCAATCAAATCTTGATTATTTCAAGATGGGTCAGACCGATGCTGACCATCTAATCATCTTTATAAACCACAAAAACAACTGGAATGGCACTGGAAATAGATTCTCATAGAATGATGACCTCCTAGAATGTTAACTTAAGGTCCGTAACACTGGAAAAGTAAACTGTTCCAAATATGTAAACCCAATATTTTAGAGTAAATTATGTTAACCTTAGTACAAATCATTCTTTAAAATGGGTTCAGAATGCAGAGGTGGAATAGTTAAGATAAAAATCTATTTATGAAATGTTGTTCAAGCCAGGATGTAAATTGTTCTTATTTGATCTTATTGCATTGCTTACTGGCAGAAGTTCACACATCTGATAAGCAGCGGTGGAGTTAATACAATTTACATTTTTACAAGGATCACATCAGCGGTTCCAGAAGCTATCTTTGTAGCAAAACAACAATCACTTCAAAATTAGATAAAGATACTTTTGCCTGTGGACATATTTCTCGCTGGATGGAAAAATAGTGTAATGAGTAGTATCTGTGTGGGTAATTCTTGGATGGCTTAAACACATACTATAAAAGCATTGCCTTTTTTTTCCCTTCTTATCACACCCAGGCAGCTCCCTGGAAGAACAACTTTACATATGAATGACTACCTTCCCCCACTAGTTTGTGTCATTCAATACCACACACACAAGTTATAGAAATGGATTTCTATTGAGTTCTTTGCCCTGAAGCAAAAATCTTTCCACAGTCATTTAAATCGTCTTATCAGGAGCCTACAAGCAAGGTAAAAAACCCAGCTCTTGCACAGGCATGCTAATGGAGGTCCACAGTGCTTTAGGACTCAGTGTATCAAATATTAGAATTTCACATCACTACCAAATAGCTGCTACATATTTGATCTTGACAAACAGGTCATTGCCTATACATCATAGGTGGATTTTTAAGTTTCATAAGTAATTAAACTACAACTCATTGAACAGCATGTTACATATAAATAAAAGTAATTAATATTTGAGAAAAAACATCACAAAGTTCAATTTGTTTTTCATGAATAGCCAACTTTAGTTGTGGTCTTATAAAGCCCACTGGTAAAATCTTCTACTAAATGTGACATTTAATTGATTATTATTGTTTAAAATTCTTTTCAGAATTGGAAAAAAAATAGAGGAACTCCAAGGTAATGAAATACTGACGGAAGTCAACAAAATAAAATTCCACTCAAAAAAAAGCAGACTCAGACTGTAATTTTATGCATATTACAAATGAGTAATTCATTCTAGTTCCCTGAAATTATTTAAAAAAACCCAAAAAACCGTAATCACCATGACAGTGTTTATGCCAGTTATATAAAGTAGTTATCTATTCCAAATATGAGAACTGTTACTTCTACTCTTTAATACTAATGAAAGGTACTCAGTGAGGAGGCATACTGTTTTAAAATTTAAGAACCTTAAGAGAATTTGGCCAAAAAAAAAAAAAGTATTTGCTTTTTCTCTAGTGAATCCATTTGTTTTACAACCACTCCGTGTGGCTGTAGTAGATGCTTTTACTTAGTTGCTTACCCTGCTAAATGTAGAGACATTTTAGAAAACAGGCATGAGCGATGGAAATTTGATCAAGGCAAAAGGACCCACAGCGACCACCTGGCTGAATAGACATGCCCATGGGGTGACCACCTCAAATTATCTATAGGCCCTAAGGGACCAATGGGCTACTTACAACCAGGCAGGCACAGTTACCAAAAAGGGCAAATTCCATTCTTCACCAGCCATAACTACTCCTCTTCCCCCTTTAAAAACGGCCCCCACCCACTGCCTCCTGGCAGATGGTCTCTCCTTTGCAGTCTTGCCTGCCCCTCCCTTGCAGTGTATTCAGTAAACTATCTTTGGGTGAATCCTTTCACCTCCCCACATCACCAGCTTCCACCAGATCACTGCCTGGCATTTGGGGGCTCCCATCCGACTGGACAGACACCACACTAAATACAGCCATTTAAAAAGTAAAATGAAACTAACCAACTCAAACCCCTACTACACCTTAATTCTTTGTGAACTGTTTTATTATCAGTGCCCCATATCTGTGATGTTTATTGTTCTAAGCTCCCCAGTGCCCAGCACACAGTAAGTATTTTCTGGATGGATAAATGAAAGACATTGCTGACTTCCAGATCCCCTTTCATGCTGGCTCAAGTGCTCTTTCTCCTTTGACATCCAGTTCAACCCTGAGCCTGACCAATTTCTCACACGCACACTTTTCAGTGCCTAACTCTAAACCCAGAGTACACCTCATCATCTCACAACAGGATTACTACGGCAGCTGAATTTATCCCACACAGTACCAAGATCGCTTTCATCATGCCACTTCTTATTTCTAAAATGCTTGACAGATTACGTCACAAATCCTAAGACATCCCACATTGGTGCTGCCCTTAACTAATGAGATTTTTTTCACAGACTAACAATACTCTCTACTCCAGCCTACTTCTAACACCATACTTGCCTTTTCATCTTCTCTGAAAAATAATGCCCATTTTTTGCTTTAAAATGCTGCCCAAAGCAGTCTCACTTAAGCTCACCTATTTATACCATGATTTAATAAATATCCCTTAAAATAAACTCATAATATGCATTACAGATCATAAACTAGGGAATTCATTATACATGTACACACACACACACACACACACACACTGAGGGACCAATTCTAAGAGAATTTCATCAGATAATATAAATACTGAGATAAAATTAAGCTTCTTTACAGCAGAAACTGTGCTTTCTGCTTCTGTATTTCTAGTGCCTACCCCAATGTCTGGCATACAGCAGATGGTAAGTAAATGTTTTTGAATGAGTAAATAAACAGTGAATGTGGATTCTTAGACATGAGCAAAATGTTTTCATGTAAGCATGGAAGTAATCAAGTCAGAACTGAAAAACAAGTCTACAAAGTATGACTGTGTATGAAAGTAAACTATTATGTGGAGATAATGCCACACAAAATTGCTAATATTCCATGTATCTCAGGTCTGGCCACCATCTTACAACTTTCTATGCCCAAATTTCAATTCCATCTACTGAGTGTTTTTTTCCAGAGGAGTAAACCACTAATTTGGTCAATCTGGTTTATAACCTTCATGCTACATCACACTCACCCAACAAACCTTTATTAATTATATATCATGGCTAAGTACTACATATGTAGCTGTGAAAGACTATCTTCAGGGATGACAGCCAAGTGAGACAGAGAGTCAGATAAACCAGTAATTATAATCAGGGCACAGACGTCCAAAATGCACCAGGGCAGTAAGTGGCCCTCATCTTTGAGGTGGGGACTGAAGTGGTGGGGTTAGTAAAAACTTCCTATGTTAAACTGATTTTTGAAATAGAACTAGAATTAACTATAAAGAGAATTTCAGATTGAAGAAGGTAAAGGGTCAGAAGCCTGAAAGAGCATTAGTCTGGAGTTGCTCTGGCATGGTTGGGACATGAGCTGTAGGGAAAGGGCAACAGTCAAGAGACTAGGCAGGAGCAAGATCAGACACAGCCTTTTTCCACGGCAAGCAGAGAGTACAGAGTCGATGGTGGTTAAAGGAGAGTGAGGAGCCAAAAATAAATAGCATGTTTCTGATTTGGTGACTGGACATGGTGACATGATTCACCAAGGGAGGGAATGCTAATTTAACAAATTTTTATTTAGCTTTGAGTAGCAAAATAATGAATCTAATTTTATGCAGGTAATGTGAGATGCCTTGGGTCATCCAGATATGTTATAGATAGCAGAACTTACACATTTTATTCAAAAGAAAAGATCTGAAAAATATTACGTGTCTATCAGGTCAACATGTGTGTGCTGGTGTAGTGGGCTTGGAAATCCCAGTACTTTATAGTCCCACCACTCAAATGTTTCTATGTGTCATTCCCTATAATACCTATCCCTTGGTTCTTGTTACAGTGTACATGCAGGAAGCGTCAAAAGATACTCATTTCGTTAAAATGGAAAAGATGAATGATACTGCACAAACAAGGAACATAAGAAAAATGATGCATGTATCCTGACAAAAACAAGTTCCAAAAATAACTGAAGAAATTCATATTGCTTGCTCAAAGCCTGGTATATTTTACTCTGTGGAAGAAGTACTATCTAAAAACTTTTAAAAAATGATGGAAAGGTATTGGCGACATATTTAGATTTCTGAATTAGGATTTCTGTGGAGAATCAGCAGTACATTATATTACAAAAATATCAAATTATGTTCCCCTGCCTAAAAAGTTTTTCAATAGCCAAAGGCTTGCATTTGCTACAAGTACATGAAGTCATCACTGCAAAGGTGCACTCTGCTATAATCAGGTTTAGGACAGGCAAAAAAAAAAAAAAAAA